TCCAGCACCTGTTGTTTCCTGACTTTTTAATGATTGCCATTCTAACTGGTGTGAGATGGTATCTCATTGTGGTTTTGATTTGCATTTCTCTGATGGCTAGTGATGATGCTGGCTCTGCCACTTCTTACCTAGACAAGCTACTTAATAATTTCTTCTTGGGTAAAAGTGGTCTGTCCTTCCCAACCTACCTCACATGACTTCTGTGTGATTTCTTGTATAAAATCACTTAATAAGTGACGTCATAATAGGTAGAATAGAAGGCATTCCTGCTCATGATGAGAATGAATTAATAAGAGTGTACCATATAGGATATGGGTATCTCCCCGTCCCCATCCCAAGTGGCACCAAAGCGACTCCTCCTTGCCCATTTGTTGCTGGTCTTGGGTCAGAGGGAGACACAAGGCAGGAGCAGCTCTCACACACACTTCCAGAGCAGTTGTGGGCTCATTTTATATCTGGCCCTAATTCACCTGCGATAGTCTGCTTTCCTTTCTCCTCGTCATAAAACTGCAATCTGAATAAAGCATTATTTACCTCTTTCCAGACTGAGTAGTGGCTGAGAAAGCAGCCAATTTCACCCCTCGTTAGAGGCCTGGAGGAATAGGGATCTCGATAGCCAGGCAGCATTTCAATATTCAGTGCCTTCAGCTGGCTTGTGTTGAGTGCCCTGCATCACAGAAAACACGTCTGGAAATTAACAAGTCAAAGGTCCCCACCACAAAGGCCAGAGAAAGAGAGAGTTAGTTCTGCAAACACCCCTCCCCCACACAGACAAAGACCCAGAGGCTTCCCTTTATTCCTTACAAGTTCCTCCGGGCTAATGTGTCACAGTAGTGTTATGAGGTCTGGGAAGACAAGAGGGTATCATATTTTTGTGTATCCTTCATAGTGCCCAACATAGTTCTAAGCATCATCAGTTTTTTGACAATGTTTAATAAGTACACTCCTATGGAAATTAGCTAAAGTATTGCAATAATCCAAGGAGTGTTTGATCCAGACCCGCAGCTGAATCTCTGTTAACACAGTGAGCTTTGTGAAGTTCACAGCTGCTCTAATCTTAACCTGTTCCCCCCAGCCCTACAAAAGTCTTGAAAACCAGTAGCCTCACAACTATGACAGCTGCAAACCCTACCAACCCAGCACCACTGGCAGGGACAAAATGGACTGAGACTCCCCTAAAGACCTGCCCCTAGAAAATAATCTTTATTCAACCTGTCTAGTAGCTCCTTGAAAAGCTACATTCTCAGAGCTTGTCTTGATTTGACCTGGCTCAGAGTTCATTTTCTGTGAACAGTACTATCTACAGGGCATTTGTCAAAACCCATGAGCAACAACTGTTTAACATTACATTTGTTTAAGCAGGATTATCAGTTGATGCTAACAAGAAGCCAATCAAAAAACTTAAAAGGAAAAACCGAGGAATAAGAGATCCATAGGGAGTTTGATTTGCTCCAAAATATCCCTGGGAATCTAGAAGACCCCAGGCATATTCAGGGCTGTCCACATGCCCAGGAAAAACTTGAAAAGTCCCTAGTCTCTCACCTCTGGCTGAACTTAAGGATCTGGAAAAAAATGTAGTGATGGCAAATGAATAAAACACTGCAATGAAGGAAGAATTTGGCATAGTGAGTTTTAAAAATTAATACAACCATGTGGTGTCTACAAGAGGCAGCCTTTAGATTAAAAGACAAAAATAGGTTGAAAGTGAAAGAATAGAAAAAGATATACCATGTAATCAGCAATGACAAGAGAGCTGGCAGAGCTATGCTAATATTGGACAAAATAAATCTCAGACAAAATTCATGCTAGAACCAAGGAAGGACATCTTTTAATGACAGAAAGGTCAATCCTGGCCGGGCACGGTGGCTCATGCCTGTAATCCCACCACTTT